GAGGGGGGTGACACAATTTGGGTTTATGGTCGTGACTGTAGAGGTGATCTGCAGGTTTTGATCCTGCTGGAAATCTGAAATCTTAATTCCATCCACTAGGGGAACAACATTATTACCCCCATAAATTGCATCTAGAGGCTTTGGCTAAAGATGGGTGAGTTGGGTTGGGGAAATTTATACTTTGCATGAATTCTTAACTTGTAATGGTTCTTTATGATTAAATAAATAAATGACACCAACCTAATTGCAGGATTAAAAAAAAAAAAAAAATAGAAAGAATTAGAATAGATACTATACAACTGTTAAATAAAAATCATTTTTATTTGATAAACTATTGTCTTGGAACTAACTCCAGTATCATATAGCTAATATAATTGCTATATACAAAGTAACTATTTAAAACACAAAATCAATAAATTGATTTATATTAGTGTTACAAACTTTGACCAAATTCATATGCCTCTTTTAAGCAGAAACTACTATAATTATTATATAATATGAAATAGATTAAAATAACTGACTTGTTATAATTTTATTATAATAGTACATATATATGTATATTTATTAAGTTAATTTGTTTTTTCATTTATAGACTTACTCAATATACTAATTTACTATTTAAAATATAAGCTTATACATTAAATAAAATCTTTAAATAATGAAAATTCTAATACTAATTTTAAACTATCTAACCTAATTTAAATTATGTCTTAACTGTATTTATTGTGAAAAAATATTATACTATTTTATAGAAATAATTAGAATATTTAAATATTCTAAATACTTTTCACTTAAAATCTCAAAAAAGGCAAATCACTCTTTATTATCATTTGTGACTTTGGATTTTCCTAAATAAATTTTTTTCTTTTAAATAAGTATTGAATTGAAATAGTTTCAAACTAGAATATTCTTTATGCTATAAAATCTGTTATGTTAAAGAGAGTTATAAATTTTCATAAAAATTAGATTAGAAATCTTTTTTTATATAATTTTTTCTACTTTAATCTGTTTTTAATTTACAATTGTCAAAAAGACTAGAGATTCCATTTTTATATAATTTAACTAAGTCTGATTATAATTAAGAATTATTAGGTATAATCGTTTTGTAAAAAAACTCTTTCCCACATCCCCTTAGACACTTGAAAATTTCCTTTTTAGGAAATTTTTGAGTTGTTTACTTTTCTTCATCTTTCCCTTTCTCTTTCTCTTTATTTCCTCTTCTCTACTCCTGTTTATTCCTTCTCCCCTATGTTTTCCTCTCTTTTCTTTATACTTTTTTTCATCTATATCCCCTTCCCTCCTTTTATTTCTTTCCTTGCCGAAGTTAGGTTTTCACCTTTTATCTGAAGGTTTTCCTTTTTAGGCCTCTCTTTCTCTTGAAAAATTCGCTCTTTATAGTTATACATGTGGTATAAATTATTTGCTGTTGACTCAATTCACAAAATCCTCAAAAATAATTGTGTCATGACTCAATTATTTATATGTTTTAATAGTGACTCAATTAATTGCGTCAAATAATTGCGTCAATTGTGTTAAGGATCTATGAATTTCAGCAACATGTATAGTCCACAGCCACTAGAATATATCGATTAGGTCTTGGAGTTCGTGGTAAAGGTCCTATTAAATCAATACCAATTTGATGAAAGAGGGCAGTGATAGGAATAGGTCGTAATAGCTCAGATACACACTTCTTCCCACACCGCTGACATTGATCACATCTTTTAATATATTTTAGTATATCATTGTACATTTGGGGCCAATAATAAGCTCTGCGAATCTTTTCAAATACAGCATTCTTTCCCAAATGTGTGCCTGTCAAATGTTAGTGTATCAAAAAGAGAATTGGTTCAACCTTATGTTTTTGTACTACATGTAGTAGATGACCCTTCGTTTGTTAGTCCTTTTTGTATAGGATGCCATTCCTATATATGTAAAATTCACTTTTCTTTTGTAATTTCCATTTATCGGTCACATTCATGGCGGTTGGTAGCTTTTGGATTTGCAGGTACGTTTTCAAGTGATTATAGTGTGTTTCATCCATTTCAAATTTTTTTTTTTTTTGATGGCCACAAATATTTCAAAGATTACAAGAGACTTTTCGTTAGCTTTTCTTGACAGGACACTGGAACCTGGACTGGATTCTATTCCTCATATTTTTTTTTTTTAAGATGTTTCATAGTACGATGGCTTGGTTTGGCGTTTCTTCTGGTCGGTAAGTCTTCTTGCTCTGAGCGATCAATTTTTTTTTTTTTTCACAAGTTCTATTGGGTTCTTAGAGGTGGGATAATGCATCAGCGTTACTATGGGTTTTTCCACTTCTATGTTGTATCGTGAAGTTATATGGTTGTAGGCAGAGCATCTATTTAGCTCGATGCCCCGTAAGTTTGGATGTCTTAAGCCACTGTAATGCCATGTGATCGGTGATAACTACAAATGGGTTCAGGTCATAATAGTGGTAGAAATGCTCTACCACCCACAAAACTGCCAAGCATTCCAGTTCGGTTGCCACATAGTTCTTTTCGTGTCATGTTAGTCGCTGGCTCGCATACTACACAATGTATTCTTTTCCCGTGTTGTTTTTTTGCGCTAGCACTGCGCCGAGTCCGTTGCCGGAAGCGTCTGTATTGACATAGAACGTTTTGCAAAGTCGAGGTATCGTAGTATCAGGACAGTTACAAGGTAACGCTTCAGGGTTTTGAATGCTTAATCCTGTTCCCTTCTTCATTTAAACTCCACGTGCTTCTTTAAGAAGAGATGCAGCGGTCGGGCTATTGTCGCAAACCCCTGGATGAAGCAGCAATAGTACAAGGCCAACCCAATGAATCCTTGTAGCTGTTTCAGGGTTTTGGGTACCGGAAAGTTTTTAATTTTTTTGTCTTTCGTGTTGTCCGGACAGATCCCTTTCCTCCTAACCACGTGCCCTAGAAAATGTAGATTAGAACGAAAAAAAGTACATTTTTCCAAGTTAAGTTTCAATTCAGCCGTCTCTAGTTCCCAGAATATTTCTTTCACATGTGTTAAATGCTTCTGGAACGTCTTAGAGAAAACTATAATGTCGTTCAAGTATACGACAGCCAACTTCCCTAAATACTTAGAAAGCATCTTATTCATCAAGCATTGGAACGTAGCTGGAGCATTGCACAACTTGAATGGCATTACGTTAAATTCATATGTTTCAAACATAGTAACGAACGCTGTTTTTTCTCTGTCCCTTTCTTCCATCGCTACTTGCCAGTATCTGCTCATTAGGTCCAACGTAGTAAACCAGTTTGCCTCGGCAAATAGCTCTAGCAGGTCGTCGATGTGGGGTAGAGGGTAAGCATCTTTTTTGGTCACCATGTTTAATTTCCGATAGTCAACGCATAATCGTAATTTCCCAGCTTTCTTAAGTACCACCACTATCAGGGAAGCCCACGGGCTTTGAGATTCTCGAATCAGTCCCTTGTCCAGCAGGTGCGTTATTTCGTTTTGGATGAACTCTTTAATGCTGGAAGTTGCTCGGTATGCAGGTTGTTTCATCAGGGCCGCATTACCGGTATCGATTGAGTGGTGAACCTTACTTGTTTGTCCCAACTCTTCCATAATTTGAGCAAATATCGTTTTTTGATTTAGCAACAATTTTTGTATCTTACCTCGCTCTTCCTGTCCTAATTCTTCATCGACTTCAATTTGTCGAATCCCTTCGTCAACGGCGATTTCTTCTGGTTCCTCAGGTGTGGTGGGTAATTCTTCCACTTGGGCTAGATACGTAACGGGCTTATCGAGTCTTCCCTTCCAACGTTCGTTAATTTTTTCCCGGTTGCATCCTCGGTATAGTATCTTTTTGCGTCCTCTACCTCTTCTTCCTTATATTCCAACATGTCTAGTAAGTCATCATCGATATCTGTGGGTTGACTCACATCACTGTTTACATTCTCTTCACTGGTGTTGTAGATGGGTGTCTTTATGACCTCATTCTGGTAATGCAAGATCATTCGTCGTTCGTCGTAACAAATATGGGCTCATACTTTCTCAAACTAGTCATTCCCCAATAGTAAAGTCTCGTCTTTAGAGTTGATCACTTGAAACGTGCATGGAATGTCGACACCCTGGATGGCAATCTTTGCATTGTTAATTTTTCCTAACGTCCTAGAACGCATTCCCATAATCGTGACCACTGCTGATGTTGATTTTTCATCAATTTTTAGGCCCAGTCAATCCATCAATCTTTTGGTGATGAAACTGACCACCGCGCCAGTATCAATCACTGCCACCACAGGTTGGTCTCTAATCTCAATATGGCACCTCATAGCCATTGTTTTTTTCTTGTCTTTGTCAGCGTACATGGTTTCTTCCGGGATTGTCGGTCTTCGTAAGGCTTTCGCCAGGTTCTGTTTTTGTTCTCGATATTGTAACATCTGACCAAGAGTTACCTTCACAGGTATGAATAGCAAGTCATCGACAATGTTGTATGGTGGTTCTGATTTGATTCTTGATAGTCCCTTCTTCTTTTTAGATATCCTTTTTGGTGCCTCTGTCAGTTCCTCCTCCATTCTTTGCTGCTGGTTTTCTTCACTACCTTCTCCTTCTATCATGGGGTCTTGGATCTTTTCCGCTCTCGCATCGGTGGTGTGGTTCCGCAGACGTCCTTCCCATACCGGACCAGTCTTTCTGTCGGCTCGGGTTCGATTATACAGTTGGTATCTGTTGGTAATGTGGTAGACCTTATTCTCGCATTCCATCAATTCTACATATTGGGCTTCTGATTCTTGTTTAGTCCCTTGTGTGGATACTTCATTCCGATGGTTAGTTCTTTCCGCCACACAATCTCTTGTGTAATGATTCTTATTATCACACTTAAAACAGGTTATATCGCGAATATCCATCCTACCTCTAGTCCTAGCTCCAGATGGAGTTGTCATCGTCGTGGAGAGCTTGGCATAATTGGCGGCCAACATCTGCATTTGTCAGGTTAGTTCTGTGATGCTGTCTTCCAGGTGGGTTTGTTTTGTTTTTTTCTCGGTTGTTTTCCTGTAATACTCTCCTGCTTCGATTTTCTTTGCTCCCGTTACAGCTTCCTCCAGGTTTCCCGGATCAACCACGGACAGGAAAGACGCAATCTTTCCTCTCAATCCCCCAGTAAACATTCGTACCATGTACGTCTGTGGCAGGGCATTCTCAGGGTCCATCTTCTTCAACAGCCTTCGAAATTTATAAGTGTATGTGCCCACTCGTTCTCCTTCTTGTTGGTGTAATGTGTTTAGCTCTACTTGCCATTGATGTTTACGTTCAGGGTGACAAAGTAGTGGAGGAATGAGGGCACAAAGTTTCTGTCTAGGTTACCATGCTCATTCCAATGGATAATAGCATCTCTTTGATTGTGGTACCAATCTGCAGCCAGGCCGGATAGGTATCCCGAGGCAATGCTAATCTTACGTCGATTGGTCCAATTATTAGTGTTTGCAGCTCGTTCAAATGCTTCCAGCCATTCAAACAGATCCTCATCATCTTCCCCGTAGAAGGTTCTTACCCTAATCCAGTTGTTTTTTCTTTCATCCATCCTCGGAGCCTGTTCTACCCCTGTTTCGCAAAACGCATTTGTAATTTCCCTTAGGATTGTATTTACCTGGTTCAGGTTTACTCATGTATCTTCTCCGTCGGTAAGAGTCTCATTGTCATTCCGATCGTTAAATAATTTGTCCATACTTATGGTCTCACTCCCGTCATGGCTTTTTGTATCGTGGATTGCCGAAAATATTGTTAGGAAAGGTCTTTGGTCTGGGAATTATTATCGTCAGGTAACAAAACGTTTGTCTCAAAAAAAAGAAAACTAGAATTCAATTAATAGGGTGAATTAGTGATGGAATAAAACAATGATGAACGAAAAAAAAAAAAATATCGGGAGAGGTAATGAAGCGTCGGATCTCACAGTCACCACTAAAATTGTAATGGTGATCAGTGAATCTGTCGCTAATGGGAAGTTAAATTCGTATAATGATAGTAAGTGTTTATGGTGAGGTGGAATTAATTATGGCCGAGAGATGATAACTTGGCTTCCTTTATTTAATGCTTTCTTTTCTTTTATATATTTTTACAACTTCATTACATAATAAAAATGATAATTACAAATTAAGTAAAACTATGAAAAATCTTATGACGAAACATTTGTTATTTGATTTTCATACTATTTCTATTACATAATTCCATTAATTGGCCTCATAGTACCATGTTCGATCCTCGCATAATCCAGTCATATGAAGCTATTGCGATTGTGTCATGATTCTTCTTTTTTCTCCCTTTTTCCAAGCTTGTGCTTGTTTCTATCACACTCATTGTACTTGCTACTGCAGTCTTTCTTCCCAATATCATGGAGAAACCCGAAATTCAGCATAAGTCGCATCACTCTTTTCCATGTTACAATAGGTATATCTAAATATTCTTAGAACTAAGGAACTTTTACAAATTATATAGGTCTTGATGATGGTTAGAATTTTTTTGTATTATCTGATGCTACTGTTTAATTGAAGATTGTTAATTAGAGGACTTTTAAAGAAATGAAATGACAAATTGATTCATTAAAGAGTATTATCAGATTTTGAATTGAATTTGGGACTAGTATATCTGATTTGAATTAATTTGTTCTATATTGGTCTATTAATTCTTAATATTATTGAGACAATGTTGATTTTTATTATTCTTTTCAAATAGTTAGATACTTTTTGAAGAATTTTTTTATTACTTATTATTTTCATGATACAGTTTGATAGGTATTAATATAAAATATCTATTATTATATAAAGGAAATTTACTAAGGAATATTCTGGATTAGCTATAACAATTTTTGTATTATTTGCAAAGATCTTGTTTTGGTGAAGTTGGAGATGATACTGTTGGCAAAAACTGATTCTTTGAAATGCTAGAAAAAGAAATATAAAATTGTCAATGAATAGAAGAATATCTTCTTCTTGTTGTGATATAATCAACAGTTTACTAATTATATTATATAATTGATATTTGTTTGGACTGTTAGAATTTGAGACTACCTATAATAAAGATTCTGTTAGGCTTATAAAAGACAATATACAAAGCCAACAGAAGGTAATCCTAGTGAATAGTCATTGCATTTAAATAGAATGTTGTTTGGATTGATAGAATAGTGTTTTCCTTTAAGGTTTGCTCTCTCATTTATGTTGTAACTTCTCTTATATATTTTAATAATGCAGTTGGAATTATATGAATATCAGAATAATAGTATGGGATTTAATACTGGACCATATATTCCAAGAAAATTGTTTGAATTGTTGAAATCTCTAAATCAATTGGGTTCAGGTCTATAGCATACTATTACTATATATGATATAAGTTAAAACCATATGAGCTTTTTTGTACTGTTGTATTTCAAAAGTTGATTAATGAATTTGATATTTAAAACATTTGTTATATTAATTGTTATAATTTTATTAAGGAAAGGCAAACTTTTAATATAAGGCCAATGAAGTTTTCAATATTGTTAAAATATATTAAACAATCAATTGGACAAATTTGAATTTTGAGATTCTTTACAATTTTGGCTGTGTATGTAATTCAGTTGTTCTGATTGAACTTATCTGGATTGCAGATCAGACAAAACCAGATTGATTTATTTTTTTGGATCAATCGCAGTTTTTGGAAAATATACTTTCTGATTATTGACATAGAAAGTTTAAATATTAGGTTGCCAACCAGTGAGGATCTTTGCCTTTCTTTAAAAAGAGTCATGTTAAAACCACTGTGGCTAATAAAAATTGCATTCAAACATCTGAAGATGATTTTATAGGCTGAATTAATGAGTTTGTTGATCTTGAATTGAAGTATATTAAGAGTAGACTTGTTAAGATATAATAGGAAGAGAAAGTATTCAAACTTTCTCATGATAATCTAATCACAGATCTGTTGTTTGATCTTACCTTTCCAGTTGTGTTTAAAAAGTTCTTTTAAAATTGTATCTGTAGTTTGATTAAAAGCCTTTCTATTAGATTTGAGAAAACTTCTGAAGAAAATAAGTACTCCAGATATTTAACACTTTCATAAGGTTTGAGTACTTGAATTAGATAGTTGTTAAATTTGATTGAGTTATTAAGATCACATTTGACCTTGATGTTGAAGATTATTTTGTTTGTTTTTTTTTAATTGCTAAAGTGAGACTGTATTCTAGTCCATATTTTTTTATTAATAGATAGGTCATTATATACAAGATATATACAAAGTTAATCTATCCTAAATATCTATATATACTAGAATCCACCCACAGGCATAAACCATCTGGGTGCAGCCTGCCACCTAAGATTTTCTTTTACATCTTCCAGCCTCAAATTTGTAAATCTTTCAGTAAAGTTATTTAACACTATACGAATTACCTATCGGAGTACTGTGTCTTTGTCTTTTTCCGGTTTTCTTCCTAGCACACATGGCCTTGGAGGATTCCCATTTGGAAAAACGGATAGAACCTATGTCCAAGAGTTGTTTCAATACCTTTAAACCAGGGTTGATGATCTAATCCTTTTTAGATAATGCCAGGCTTCAAGCATAAGCTGCTTATTTAAGAGGGCGCAACTCCTCCAAAGTCAGGTTAAGTCTTAAGGAGAGTCTTCCATTCTGGCAATCGTTACCAACTAAGTACCTTCACTACAGATAAGAATGGTGGGTATTGCTGGCGAGTCATCACTCTTGCAGAAGAGGGAATCGTGTTAGAAAGTCTTGCTAAAAAGTTTTCAGTTTGTGGCCCTCCATATTATATTTCTTTTATAGTCTCGTGGACTATAGGAAAGGGAAATTGCCTATTTATGGAACTGGGGATTGCACCAAACTTGACAATGATCATCATAACACCAACCAGATGATCATCACGTCACAACACCTTTTTTTGGAAATCACAATCTCAACACCGCTGGGTCAGCGTGTGAAATGGCTTTTTATGAGAAACAGTGCTTAACAGGTTATGGCGCCAGATATCATATTACTTCTTATTCAACCACCCTCACATGGGGTTGAACTGGTATCTTGTGATTTGACCTGTGGAGTATTAACCACTACACTATAGACCCACAGGTTAAGATTATTTTGTTTTTGTTTTTGTTGCAAATAATATTGTTTATTGTAAAGAAGAATTGATTAGCTGTTAAGAGAAGATTTTTATCAACTATTTACTATTAGTAATGAGAGCAAAATCATTCATGTATACTAGGGCATTTTGAGTAATGTAACTTCTAATGGACTTATAGCTGGCTAATTTGAAGACAAGAGAATTATTCAAATAATAGGAGATAGTGTCACCCCTTGCTCCATTCCATTGTTTATATCTATATAGTTTTATAATTTTGTTAGAAATTAATATAATCTGAATTATATATATTGTTATATTGTTAATTTTTACTATACAATATATGGTAATATAATTTCTAATTAAATATGATTTTTAGTTAATTTACTATGTTTTAAATAATAATATAGTTTTTAAAAAATGTTCAATTTAATTCTATCACATATATAATTTGAATAATAATTTATTAAAAAAAGGTAAAATTATTAAATTGAAATAAAAATTGTCAAAAAGATTTTCACTTATAAAATAAGATTTTTCTTATCCTTATTACTAGTAATATTAATCAACTAAGAGATCAATGAGATGGATTATTTTAAGAATATAACCTGTTTCATTGAATACAAATTAATGAATAAATTATTAATATTAAGTTATATATAAAATTATATAAATAATATTTAATACTGTATACTTTTGATATAAATATATATCAATAAAGGTAATATTTAATGTAATTTTTTTTAAAAAAAAAAGGATATTAAAAATTTTTTTATATGATTTTAAAAAAAAATAAATCTTTATTTTGTTTTTTTTTATCAAAAATTTTATTATAATATATTGATATATTTTTTTGATATTTTTAAAGCTTTTATAATAAAAATA